AAGACGTTTAAATTTCTTGCAGTAAGTCAAACATTCAGTTTGTTTTTCTGTTATAACACATTTGCTACGTTTCCATTTCTGAGTGCAAATAAAGGTGTTGGCTTTAATCTACAGGCACTATGTAGTTCAGAATCTGACTAACCAAAGCCAGTCTCCTTGTAAAATCCATTCATGTGCTCAGCTGATTGTATGACAGTCCCTAGCTCTGAACGCTAGAGAACTGGAGTGGAGTGGTGTCAATGGAAGATCCATCAAACCCCAACTCTTCAGCATTCCATTAATCACTCAGGCATTTTTGGCCGGGAGCTAAGATTTTAAGTATTTCTTTCAGATGCTTGGCTAGGATGGCAGGGACAGGGAGGGGAATGGGCATTGTTGTGTGATGTTTTTAGGGGTTCCCCCCCTTAAATTGGACAATGCATTCAAGGACCCAGCCCATGATTATTTTTTCAATAAGACAGAAGAGTCATTAGAAATTCTCCAAAGAGTTAGCTGAGAGTAACAGATACTATTGTGTACAGTTTCCTTTTAAAATGTATCCAAAAAGCGTACCACTGATTTTCACCTTACTCTTTCTGATACCCTTCCTTCATCTCCAAAAATTAAGAGGTAGCTGAAAGTCTCTCGAGTTCTAGACTCTAAAAAACAAACTTACATTTTCAGTACGGCAATCAACCTTACCCTCCCCAATCTACAGTAATTTTATTACTAAAAGGGATTGCCAGCATAAATTGGCTCAGATCAAGAGCTCCTCTTCTCAATTAAAGTTAACCACTGTGATTAAATGTTTAAACTTGGCATCTTTGGCATTTCGTCCACAAAATAGAAGATTCCAAAATACAAACTGGAGATACAGCATGATTTTGATCTAATCACATAATTACTGACCTATTGATATTTGCACAGCAGGCCTTTTATAAGGCTGAAGAACAGGTTATTATGGTCCACACATACTATAGAAAAAAGATATAGAAATAACCCCCTTGAGATTTCACTTCTGAACTAGATCATGTTTGGGTTACTCTGGGAGGGTTACAAAAAACTTTATCTAGAGACCGATTTACTAAGCCTTGTACTCTCAAACCGAAGCAAATTGATTGCATCGCTTTCACCATGCAGTCTTTTTGATCGGTCAGTAAGCCAGCTGCTTGGACTAAGAATGTAATAAATAAAAAATAAAATGCTCAGCTTGAAAACAAGTGACGACAAGTTGGTGTTAAGACTGACTCTTTCTGAAGGGGTGGAGGAAGAAGAGGTAGATTCTACGACTGAGTCTTCTACAACTGCACGCCAGGAAAATATATTGTTAAGACATCCTCCTTTGTTTGTCCTAGACATTTATAGACTCCTGCCAGAAATTCTACCATGCAGAGCTAGAACAACTTGACTTCTCTAGAGCTGCAGAAGATTCCAGAAAACATATAAATGCCTGGGTAGAAGAAAAAACTGAAGGTAAGTAGCTTGCAGAGTTCCACAGTGTTTTTCTAAACAGCCAAAGTCTGCTTAAAAAGCATATGGTCATAGGAAAGATAGAATAAGGGAGGGAGGGGAAAAACAGAACTGAATCCTTCAGATTAAGATGTAGTTCTTGTCTTGTGCAGCCGTAGAGGTTACTGTTGTTAATAATACAACTAGGTAAATGGGTGTGTATCAGCTAAAAACTATTCTTCCTTAATGTGTCCTAAAGGTAAAATCCAGAATCTGTTGGCTCAGGGTGTTATTGATTCAATGACCAGACTAGTCTTGGTGAATGCCGTCTACTTCAAAGGCAACTGGGCGACCCAATTCAACAAAGATCGCACAGTGAAAGGGGAATTTAAAATTAACAAGGTATGAAGTAGGAAAATGACACTAACTTTGTACTGCTTTTCACCCAGAGAAAACAAGAAATGCTTTTAATCAGGATTGCCCTAAATACACTTTACCTCACCCCTCTATTCTATCCCATCCCCTCAACACAACCCCTTTGGTTAGTTTATTGTAAACATATTTGAAACTACATTTTCAATTAAATACATTAACTTAGATGTATCCCTTGTTTCCTTCTTTTGCTTTCTGCTGCACCTCTCACTGTATCTTTTCAGTGTTGGAGGGAGGTAGCCTTGAACATAAAATTTTAACATGGAAGGGAAGAATGTGGATAAACGAGTGTCAGACTCCATAAATTGGGACCTGTAAATTGTTCAGTGGTTAGAGAACTTGGAAGTCATTTAACCTCCGTGTCCTCTAACATGCTGCAGTTTTGTGGTAGTTCTGCACACAGAATTATGGTTACTTACAGAAACTGGTTCCCTCTGCTTCAGTTTTTATCCAGTGATAAAATTGGAACATTAATAATACTCAAGTACCTCATGTCTTGTAAGGTTGGATTTGTAAAATATGTGGCGATGGCTAATTCTCCTCACAGTGTAAATCAGGAGTAACTCCACTACAGTCACTGGAGCTAAAACAGCTATACTTAGACTGTAAGCTCGTCGGAGCAGGGTCGGTCATCTTGCTAGCGCAGTGTGGTCCTGGTCCATGACTGGGATTCCAAGGGGTACAATCAGTGGTGAACTGGAGCCGGTTTGCACCGGTTCGCGCGAACCAGTTGTTAAATTTAAAGCCGTTTTAGAACCGGTTGTTAAAGGGGTGGGCAAACTCCGGCCCGCCTGAGCTCCCGGCTGGGGAGGCTCCCCCGGCCCCTCCCCCGCCTTCCCCCCGTCGCAGAGCCCGGCGCCAGTGCTCTGGACCGCTCCTGGGCAGCTCTGCAGCTCCTGCCACTTTGAGTGGCATTGTAAGGGGGTGGGGCTTTGAGCTCCAGCAGGCCGCGCGGCATCGATACACGCTGCCCTGAGAAGCACGGTAAGGGGGCCGGGCCGGGGCTGAGAGGAGGGGTTGGATAAGGGGCAGGGAGCGATTGGAGGGGGCGGAGGTTCTCGGGGGGCGGTCAGGGGACGGGGAACGGGGGGGACGGGGGTTGGGTAGGTGTGGGAGTTCCGGGGTCTGTCAGGGTGGTGGTGGATGGGATCGGGGCAGTCAGGGGACAGGGAGAGGGGTGAGTTGGGTAGGGGGTAGGGCCCCGGGGGGCAGTTAGGGTGGGGGGTCTTGGGCTTGTATTCCCGGGTGGCGCTTAATAACCGGTTCCCTACTGGATCAGCGGCGGCACTTAGGCGGCGGGTCGTTCACTGGCTCTGGGTCTTCGGTGGCACTCCAGGAGCAAATAAAGGACGTGCCGCCGAAGATCCGGTAGGGAACCGGTAATTAACATTCTGGCAGCTCATCACTGGGTACAATAGTATAGTATAAAAAAGAAGTGAGAAGAATTGGGTCCTTATTGTCTACAGGCAGAAGGGAACATGTGTGCATTCAGATGCTTTTACACATGGAACGCTTCAGTTTACAGCAAGCTTTGAACAAAACAACATCACTTTTGCTTTAAAATGGATTCCACCATTAAATTGATATACAAAATAGATCAGGTTCCTTTTTTTAGCTACTCACATCAGTGTGCAAATCTCCTCATCTTAAAGTGCATCCACTCTACCCCAAGGCGTAATACAGTCTGATTGTGGCGATAGGTCAGCCCTTCTTTTTGGAGAAGCTCATCCATCCTCATGAGGCTGTCTACAAATAGCACAAACAGGGACTGGTAAAGTGACTCTGAAGAGCTCAGCCCATTTGCATACCAAGAAACTGAATGAAATGTGAACCACCCTGTGTGACTTGTACCATCCCTTCCTGGATGGTGAAAGACATTCAGGAGTGCCTGGAAGCCCTACTATCTCTTAACGTCATCTTTTAGAGAGAGAATTTTATCGGCCAGCCCAACACATGTTGTCAGGCCAGCACTCCAGAAGCCATAAGTGGAAACCACAGACTTTACTAATTACTGCTTGGGGGTCTAACTTCCTTCCCATTTGTGAATAACGTAATGAAAATGCAAGTGGATACACCTACTTACCATCTGTATAGTGGTCCTCCCCAAATCTGGGCTTCGGATCTTGATAGGTAACAGACAGTACAAGTAGTGTTGATGGATGACCTGCTCTTGTCCATGGATAAGAGACATACATTCACACTCTTAGGGTATGTCTACACCCAGCCGCTAGTTCGGTGGCTGGCAATCGAAGTTCTGGGTTCGACTTATCGCGTCTTGTCTGGACGCGATAAGTCGAACCAGGAAGTGCTCGCCGTCGACTGCGGTACTCCAGCTAGACGAGAGGAGTACCGCGGAGTCGACGGGGGAGCCTGCCTGCCGCGTATGGACCGAGGTAAGATCGAACTAAGGTACTTCGAACTTCAGCTACGTTATTCACGTAGCTGAAGTTGCGTACCTTAGTTCGATTTGGGGGGTGAGTGTAGACAAAGCCTCAGATCTCTCTGAAGCATTTGATAGAATGCTATTGCCTTGCCTTAGACCTACTGGGGAGTTGGTGCCAATCTTTCATACCAGGCCATTCCCAGAAAGAGCCCTAACTTGTGGAAGTTGCTTAGTTTTCCCTTTTCTTTGGGGGTGGGCGGGAAATCAGTATTATGCTGACTCCCCATTGAATACAGGGTCATATTAAGGTTTTGACCCTAATCCTCAAAGCTGTCTATGAAACTGGCCTAAGCTACCAGAGGACTGCATTTTCTTCACGACAGGGAATTCAAAGGAATTCATTAGGAGCGACAGAACTGTCAGTCACAAAAACTCGAGTGGAAGAGGGCAGATGACCCACAGCTATGGAATTCATTTTATAAGGCATAGGAATGCCCACAAATCTCAGTGCTTCCAGAACAAACTGAAAAAATCACTCTTATGTTCAGCCTGCTTAAGCTGATTAGTCATAAAGAACTGTCAGAAATGGAGTTCAGATAAGCATGCAGAAATCCAGATGCTACCTGAGCTTTTCGGCTCCTCTATGGTATCAACCGTGAACACTCCCAACAGCCTTTCCAGCACACTAATATCCACTTTCTTTTTCTACTAATAGCCACTCTATTTAATCTACTCACAGGATCACGATTTGTTTTTGCTGCCTGCTCCTTTCTTAAGACCCGGCAAAATCCTTAAGAAAATCTGGCTTTGTGCCCCTGTCCACTCAACCTTTCCTTTTCTGTATTAACAGGCAATAGCAGTGCTGGCCATATTTGCCAGTTAGCATTCAGAAGTTTGAAATCTCCTGCCTACTAACCTTTTAGATTGAAGCTTTGGAAAAGTTGGATTAATGGCCTTAAAGTTTCAGGCTAATTCTTATTTACTCATCTTGTTACTCATCTTGAATGATAAGAAAATAATGAAAAGGCCTCACTAGCTTGTGCTCCATAAGAAAAATGGTAGGAGATAGGTAGGATTTCAAAATGGTCATTTCAAACCATTAGCGGCTTTATAATTTTAGGATTTAATTATTTTAATAACATCACTAAAATATTTGACATTTCTTTTGAGATTATATTCCAGGGACTGGTAGCCTAAAAATAACAAAATATTTTTGCTGAAGATGTTCCCTGTCCATTTGAAGCAAAGATTAAAATATGTCGGTAAATTAACAGGCTTGAATCCAGGTATGAAACTCTTTTGGCACAGAGGTCCAGTGTTTTAACAATTTTGTTGATAGGAAGCTACACACTAAGCAACTAATATACATGTGGTTTTCTCAGAATAAATCTCAAAGGACTGGGCATTACAAATGGGAAAAGCCTGATAGAATTTTGGTTCATTCCCTGTCACCCCAAAGGGCAATGGTAGGACCCTTCCCTACAATATTTTCTAGTGCTTTGTCCAGCCTAGTTTCAGATTTCCCATGTGATTTGAATCCCAGTTCTTCTGGTTTAGTACCAATATGCTGGCTCTGTAGTACTTGTTGACATTGATATTTTTTTTTTTTAAAGCATGAGACCAAACCAGTGCAGATGATGTTCAAGAAAGCTAAATTTAACATGAGCTACATAGTAGACTTTCAGACCAAAATCCTTGACCTCCCTTATGTTGATAATGAGACTAGTATGATCATCCTGCTTCCTGATAAAATCCAAGATAATTCCACTGGCCTGGAACAGGTAAGCCATTTGTACTGAATAAAAAACTCAAATCCTGCCAGAGAAGAGCATTTGACTAAATCTCAATTAGATCTGTGAATTCAAGTCCCAAGCTCTGAACTCACCAGTATTAGCACAGGGTAGGAGAGCTGAGGAGGCATTACATCTGTCCCCCAAGAGATGGGAATACCATGTGTCACTGTCAAGTAAGCCCAGCTCTCTCTGATGTCTAGAGAAATGTTAAGTTGTGAAAGGAGAGACTTCTTGACCAGAGGAGGGGTCACCGGGGATTGAAGACAATCCTGGAGAGCTCCATTCAAGAGCTACTGATTTCCTTTCTGTGCTATATTGTTACTGGGCTGGCAAGGGATGGCAAAATAGTAATGCCTCTCCCACAGTAGTCACCTCTGCAAAGTACTTCATTACTAATGACAACATGCAATAGCATTAACTTGTCACCATGAAAGATGGGCTTGCGACGGTACTTGCATATTGCACAGTGGGACTCCGATCCTAATTAGAGGGACTTTTGACTGTACTGATATAAGAATGTATCTGAATGCCATTTATTGTTTGCTTCTGACTACAGCAGTAGCATTCACTCCAGACCAGGGGAGGATGCTAATCCCTACTGTGTAAACACACACAGCGGGCATTGTTTCATTAGTATAAATTCCTGGCTTTTCTTCCTCTTTAATTTTGATCTTTTTTCTTTTAGCTGGAAAGAGAACTTACCTATGAGAAATTTATAGAGTGGATAAATCCAGAAATGATGGACAATAGTGAAGTGGAGGTGTGTTTACCCAGATTTAAGTTGGAGCAAGCTTATGATCTGAAGCCTGTTCTGAAGAGCATGGGAATGGCTGATGCATTTGACGGAAACAAGGTGGATTTATCTGGAATGTCAGCCAGCAATGACCTAGTTCTGTCTGAGGTTGTTCACAAGTCCTTTGTGGAGGTAAACGAAGAAGGCACAGAGGCAGCAGCTGCTACTGCAGCAGTGATCAATATGCGATGTGCACTGATTGTACCACGGTTCACTGCTGACCATCCTTTCCTCTTTTTTATCCGGCACAACAAAACTGGCAACATTCTGTTCTATGGCAGATTTTGTTCCCCCTAAAAAGAAAAAATGCAGCCATTAACACAGTAAAGTTATTTCCATTTTACTATCTTGGGATTTTTTTTTGTACTCTAAGCAACAAGCTTTGTATAGATGCTGTACATTACATGGTGCAACCCTAAACACCCTTCTCTCTTGTGCCTGAAACAGCTTTTTGTAGTCCTCTATTCAAATTTAAGCAATAGTTTTTTAAATAACAGGATCATTTAATATCTTTTCCAAGTGTTAAG